AAGAACCAATTTTCCCCACAAATTAGCACACAGGAAATATTGTGTTATGATATGGAAATATGATGGGAAAATGTCCATAAAATCAACAATATAAATTTGTAAGACATAGATGGTAGTTTCATTTACTCTGAAACAATTTTTATCCATTTAGATATCAATGTGAGATATTTCATACCAAAGGGCAGCAATCATAGGCTAAAAAATTTCCTTGGGTTTAAGGGAATCATAATTTACAAAGATTATAGATTTAGGGACCCCTTTTTCCTTTAATTTTTAATTTCAAGCTAAAAATCAATTAATTTTATATAAAGTCAATAACTTTACAGAGTCTGCTTAATGTTCACATGTATACATTTCTCATAAATAAATTAGTTCTACTTTTACACTTAATTCATGATCTTCCTTTAAACATTTTTGTATTTATTAATTTACAAGACTTGATTTTATTTTAAACAATGAGTTCCTTCCTGATTGAACAAATCTGTGAATTTATAAAAAAAATTCTTGCCTACTTAAACAACATATGTACATCTAGTAAATTAAAGCTATAAATACAGTAAAAATTGTGCTAAATCATTCAAACACTCTTTATGTATTAAATAAAAATGTCCTATCTTTCAAATTAAAGTCATAAATCTAAGATCAATTTCATATTCTCAGATTGAGATCATAGGTCTGACCTACTGTTTTTTTTATTTTTTTTATTTTTTTTGTTTTTTTTAATAAGCTAAAATCTTTCAAAGATAACAAGTACTTCAAATGATAACCAGATTATTCCTAATTTAACAAAAATTGTTAGTGTGATATATTTAATCTAGTTACTCACCTCTCTATTTCCCTTTTTAAACAAACTTGGATACTCATGTATCCCCTTGGGTAATCAGATTTTCCACATCAAATAGTTGGGAGTTATCAGGTCAACTACTTAGGACCATATGATAGCTAAGATTTGGTGAATATAGGTTGCAGCAAGGCCCGGATGGCTGCATTTCTTAGGCTGAATCATTTCCTACTACACATGAACATACTGAGGGATTTTTGTCATTTGATGATACAAGGCATCTCTGTTGCTAAAACTTCCATCATGACATTGAGATTGATTTCAAACATTCATTTTCCAGTTCAAATTACTTCCATATGTAATGTGTTCATCTGATTAGAATAGATATAAATTTGTACACACACTGTTGCAGATAACTAATTTTACAACTTACTCAGATTCTTTATTACATGAGAATTTAATATATTTTTCAATGTTAAAAAAAATTTAATGATATTCTCTTGAATTCTAAATACTCCAATAACTTTATCTGACTGTCTGTTAACAATTTGAATGTCAGGCAAATGAAATCAAAAATAGAAATAGACTTGGAAAATCAGATTACCTCTCTGGGTCCAATAAAGCTCTACCAAGCCGTCTCTCAATCATTTTAGATATGCTATATCTATGCTCCCTGAGCAGAATTAGAATAATAATTTTTATTCTCATGTAGCCTTCAGAAGGAAAATAATAGTGGTATTATCGTTGTCATAAAGTAATTTAAAATGCCAATTTACTGTATATACTTCAACTTATTGTGTCTTGTGCAGAATCTCCAAAGATTTTATTTTTTATTTTATTTTATTTTTTTATTTAAATGCAAGTTAGTTAACATATGGTGTAGTATTGGTTTCAGGAGTAGAATTTAGTGATTCATCACTTCCATATAACACCCAGTGCTCATCCCAACAAGTGTCCTCCTTAACGCCCATCCCCCATTTAGCCCATCCTTCCACCCATCTCCCCTCTAGCAACTCTCAGTTTGTTCTCTATATTTAAGAGTCCCTTATGGTTTGCCTCCCTCTCTGTTTTTATCTTATTTTATTTATAAAATAAAATCCAAAGATTTTATTTTTTAAAGATTCATTTATTTATTTGAGAGAAAGAGAGAGAGAGAGAGAGAGAATGATTGGGGGGGGCAGAGGGAGAGAATCTTTAAACAGACTTCCCACTGAGCCCAACATGGGGCTCCATCTCACCACCTGGAGATCATGACCTGAACGGAAACCAAGAGTCTGATGCTTAACCAACTGAGCCACCCAGGCACCCCAGGATCCAAAGATTTTAACAAGTGAATTATATGGTCATAATTGCATACCTGAAAGAAAATCCTTGAAGCTCTTTGGAGATAAATGGAAGGTGTATTGGCCCTAGAAGCAGTAAAATTCCTTAGGAGGCTTCTGCAGAGAAGTAGGCATGAATAATGTAAACTAAATGGGTTTGGAAAGAATGAAACACAATTGGCAGATATTTAGGGGACACAATTTTTGGGAAATGTGTGAAAAATGAGTGGTTGTCTAGCACAGCTGTGAGATTTTGGCTTGAGTTGTGGGGATATTGTCAAAGAGAGTCATGTTAATTTTGTGTTTCTTGTGGCAAATGCAATTTCTCCCTCTCAAAAGTGTTTGGTGAAAGGAAAAGGAAGGAAGGAAGGAAGGAAGGAAGGAAGGAAGGAAGGAAGGAAGGAAGGAAGCTGGATGGAAGGAGGAAGCAAAGAAGGAAGGAAATGGAGGGAGGGAGAGAGGGAAGGAAGGAAACTAAGGAGAGTCAAACTCTAGATAGAGGGAGTTGGACATTATTCTGTAAACCACCAGGAAGAACTATTGAAGAAGCTCTGTGAACTGTGACTTTGGAGTTCAGAAGCCAGTTCTCAACTAAAGAGGGTATTTTAGGAATCACCAGCTATGGGTACAAATGTAATTTCCAGAGATAGCTCATAGATTGTAAAGAGAATACAGAAAATAGGGGAGGGGAAAATAACCACCACAAGTGATTTGGTAGTGACAGAGAGAGGAACACTTAATACCACACCAACCCTGTTGCACTAGTAAACTTCCTTTCCTGTTCCATAAGAAAACTTTGAATAGATGCCTTCTTTCAAAATGCCCATAGCCTGCTATCTACATCACACATTAATGCTGCTGCTGCATCATATTTCACAAATAAAGGCAACGTATACCTATTCCTCTCATCAGCAAATCTGCAAATCATCTGTATTTGCTCTCTTTTCTCTTTGTCTCCTTTTGTAATGAAGGAACCACTGTTCATGTACTTTGCCTTCTATGTTTCCCAACCCTTATGGTCCAAGAATTTGAGGCTTCTGTAACTTTATCTGTTTTGGGCCATCATTCTCTCCCTTCCTGCCAGTTGAATATATATCCCAAAATGCCCCCAAAACAAATAATCAATTACAAAATGGGCAGAAGATATGAACAGACATTTCTCCAAAGAAGACATACAGATGGCCAACAGACATATGAAAAGGTACTCACCATCATCAGGTAAATGCAAATCAAAACTACAATGAGGTATCACTTCACACTTCTCAGAATGGCTAAAATCAACAATACAAGCAACAACAAGTGTTGGCAAGGATGTGGAGAAAAAGGACCCTCTTACACTGTTGGTGGGAATGCAAACTGGTGCAGCCACTGTGGAAAACAGTATGGAGTTTCCTCAGAAAGTTAAAAATAGAACTACCCTATGATCCAGCAATTGCACTATTAGGTATTTACCCAAAGGATACAAAAGCACACATTTGAAGGGGCACATTCACCCCAATGCTTATAGCAGAATTTTCAATAATAACCAAATTATTGAAAGAGCCCAAATGTGCATCAACTGATGAATGGATACAGAAGATGTGGTATGCATATATATATATATATATATATATGTATGTATATACATATAAATATGTGTAAATATATATGTGTGTGTATATATATATATAAATACTTAAATATATATGATGGAATATTAGTTATCAAAAAGAATGAAATCTTGCCATTTGCAGTGACATGGTTGGAGATAGAGAGTATTATGCTAAGTGAAATAAGTCAGGCAGAGAAAGTCCACATGATTTCATGTATATGTGGAATTTTGGAAATGAGATAGATGAGCATGGGGAAAAGCAAGAAACAGACTTAACTCTAGAGAACAAACTGATGGTTACCAGAGAAGAGGTAGGTAGAGAGGATGGGTGAAACAGGTGATGGGGATTAAAGACTACACTTATCATGATGAAAAAAAAATTAACGCTAATCTTAATAGGACTTTAGGTGCCAAAAAAATTTAGACTTAGAATAGTTTAGAAAACATTGTATTTTCTTAAAAATCAAGAGGTCTGGAGATGGACTACAGCTGCCATGGTCCCATGGTTACACAATGTCTGGCCCATTGTCTCTGAGATTCTTTTGGATACTCCTTAATTCTTGTATCCCTGTGATTACAAGATGCATCACACAGTACAGAAATCATTTTTATGTATAAGGCAGGAAGAAGGGTAAAGGTTGGATCCAAGAAACTACCTTCTTTATTGGAGCTCTTATGAGGATTTGATGTATACAATTTGTAAAGCTGTTGGAACAGTGTTTGGCTTACTGTGAATACGATAGAGAATAGTAATGAATGAAAACAAACATAGAAGTAGCAGTCTCTATTCCACTCAGCTTTTAAAATTATTTCTATGTCTCATTTTCTTTTTTTTTTTTAAAACCTCTTTCTGTGTTTAATGGATTATCTTTCAGTTGGTGTTGTTACAATTTAAAGTGATTTTTTTTTCCAAAAAAATAAACTACAGAGATTTTTTTATTTAAAAAATGCAATAGCCATAGTATCATGTAACAATGACAGGAGTTTCATTAGCAAAACAATTAATAAGAGAGCATATCTGTTGCAAAAATTAAAGACAGATTTTCACGGCAGGAAATTAGTGCCAAGTCAGTGACTCCTGAAGTCATCAGAGAATGGCCAGCAGCTCAGGGATGCTACGTTTGCTCTCGCTAAAGGCACGTTTCTTGGGCAGTTTAACGTTTTTTTCCCCCTTAGAATTGAATGCTGTCAAAGCTATCATTAATATTTTACTCAGAATTCTTAAGAGAAAATCTTCACAAAATTAACAATACAGATCTTCAAGTAATTAGGACCGTTCAGAGGCACCTGAAAAGAATACCATGTATGGATTAGTTGTTTTTTTCTTTTATTCTTTGAATTAAATTCAGTGAAAGTTTTAAGGGGGAAAAATAAAGTCAGTTATCCATTCATTCCCTCATGTTTTAATTAAACAATTTTAGCAATTACGTAGAAAAACACATTTTACATGTTGCTATAAAGCACTTTTCTGGAACTGGTCGCTGATTTAAGACATCGGAAGATCATGATAGGCTGCATATCTTCCGGTAACGTGATGGTAAATCTGCCTCTCGATGTCCGAAAGGAGAGTACTGGCACCTATTCGAAACAGTTCTGGCGTCAGCCATTCATCTCCCAGCTCTTCCTTCACAAGAGAGAGCCAAGCAAGGGAATCCTTGGCACTGCGGATGCCTCCTGCTGGTTTAAAGCCTACCTTGTTTCCAGTTTTCCAGAAGAAATCTCTAATGGCCCGTAGCATTACTATAGCTACCGGGAAAGTGGCATTTACTGTTTCTTTTCCAGTAGAGGTCCTTAATAAAATCTGATCCTGCCATCATTGCTATCATACTGGCTTTATAGACATTAGTAAGAGATCCAAGTTCTCCTGTTGCTAAGATGGTTTTGAGATGAGCCTCCCCACAGGCCTTGCGAAACTGACGAATCTCATCATACAGGGCTTCCCACTGACCGGTCAGCACCAAGGTCCTGTTAATCACCACATCGATTTCCATAGCTCCATCTTCCACAGCCAATCTGATCTCTTCCAATCGTGTTTTTAAATGAGTCTGTCCAGATGGGGAGCCAGTGGCCACGGAAGCCACTGGGATGGTACAGCCCAAGGCCTTCAGTGCTTTAACTGCATCACACACCCGCGCGGGGTAGACACAAACAGCAGCCGTCGTAAGGCCTTTACCATGCATATTTAAACTTTTTAAGAGATCTTCCCGGATTGGATACTTGGCTTTATAACAGAGCCTTTGAATGTTGGAAGATGTGTCATCGCCTGAAAGTGTAGTAAGATCTATAAAGGTAACGGCTTTCAGGAGCCAAGCAGCTTGCCACTCCTTTTTCACGGTTCTGCGAGCCTGGATTTGTTCTGCACGCCTCAGAACTGCGGGTTGATTCACTTGTATTTTGGAGATCCAGCTAAGGTCCAGCTCCGAGCCCCGGTTGCGCGCGGACATGGTGCGAGCAGCTGCAGCAGTCGCCGGCTCCTCAGCGCCCAGCTCCCCTCCGCCCCTCCCTTCCTGCTTCCCGCCCGCCCGCCTATGTCTCATTTTCTGATCTCTTTCATGGACTAACTTCAAAAACATAATAATCTCTGCATTTCATCACCTCCCTTTTCTCCATTCATCTCATTCCATTCGACCTTATGTCCTAATCACTCGAAATTGTCTTTATCAAGGATTCTGATTGACATGTTTTTCTTATTTCCCTTGTCATTTTTCTCAATCCCTCCTTACTAGCATTTGACTGAGGTGACCAAGCGCTTGCTTCTTGGCTTCCTTGATACCACACTTTCCTTCTGCCTCTCCTCCTCAATCTCCTGCACCTCTATATATGACCTCTATAGATGCTCTTTGGACTTGGTCCTATGCTGATTCAGTTCTTTTTTACCTATATATTTCCAATATCTCTAATCTAAGTAATTCTCTATTTCCCCACTCAATTATGTACACTAATATTGATGAGAATTTGAACTTGTCCTCTTTATTGACTTACCTTGTTGCAGACACAGTGGTTTCCTTTATGTTCTCTGAACATGATTAAGTCCTTATCAGTTAGGGCCACTTCTCTTTGCAGGACAGCCTCTTCTTAATACTTGACCTGAACTTAAATGTGCTTTATAAAGCATCCACCTTTTATTCATTTTTGGATTAGTATCCGAATTGTTTCCTCCATAGTCTATGTCACCATTTTTTTATTTATGTATTTGTACTCTGTAGACTATAGATTTCCTGAGCTTATTATCACTTAAATTCTAAAATGATCTTAGACATTAAATTCAGAAGTTATTTGCCTGGACTTATAATACTAGTTAGTGGAAACTAAAGACTAAGTGAAACATCCTTAACACTTAGTTTGTCATTCTCTCTACTCCTTCTTCTCTATCCACAGGTACTTAAGAATTAATGTAAATTCTTTTGGAGAAGATCCAGTTAGTTCTTTCAGTGATGCGATGACTATCAAATCCTACTCTGATAATAAATTCAATATGTGGAGAGAACATACATAAGACAAAGGGGTGCGTGTCTAACAAAGCTGTTTCTATCTGACCACTAAATTATTTAAAACAGAGGGTCGTATAAACTTTAGGTGTTTGTCAAATCATTCCAGCTACAAATATTAAGAGAGAAATTATCAAGTAAGTAGTTGATGTGCACTATCATACATTTGCAAGATCTACGTGTCACTCTTTAGACTGGCAAAGAAAAATACATACAGATGCTAATTTTATTTTTTGGCTTTGTTTTGTCATAATACAGAAGAGAGACTTCTCAAATATTAATGATAGTTTTTCCTCCAAACCTATTTTGACATGATCTTGAGAGACAGTAATGCTTTAACATTCTTTTAAACAGTAGATAATATTTCAATTATTCATATATATCTTATATTGTAAATGAATGTAAAAGGACACAATAACAATTTAATAGTGCCACCTAGAAATATGCTTCTTGTAATGGAAGAGTCAGATAAAAATATTTAACAGGTAGCTGATACTTTTAGGATATTTAAGTACATAATTTCTATTTAAACTTCTGCTTTCTAGAGTATATTTGAATGTCTTTGTTTCATTATGAATTTAAAGTAGATTGTTGAAATTTCTTAGAAGTCTACACAGACACTTGTGTCTTGGTTAATATGTAAAATGAAACCTCAATACAAAACAGTTTTATTTCAAATGAATATTCATTTTGAGGATACTGTTTGCAAATCTCAAGGACCTTGGGGTATTTCAACGATGCATTAGATAACACAATAGAGAATTATCTCAACCAAGAATCCTCCTTCTGAATATTGCTGAAATTTTCAACAGATTTCTAGCCATTGAGATGTGGATTGTTGGATGATATAAGAAAAATAAGGAGGGCAGGTATATCTGCCCTGATGTAAAGTCTTCTAATTTGGAAGATTAGGTGAACTATGTGTGTTTTCATTTGATAACTATGATTAAATTTTATTGTCCCATGAGGCATTGATGATAGTTCTTCTTCAGGGGCAGCCTGGTACGCATTGGCTGCCAAATCCAGACAGCTTTATTGAGGTGGCTGCTGTTCTGTCTGGTGTCAGTTCCTGCCTCTGCCACTGAGCTTCTGAGAAATGAACAAGTTACTACAACCATTTTCTCTTCTCTAAGATGGTGACCACCGCTTATATTACAGGATAATAATATATGTTAATATATGAGCTAATATATATCAATAACATTATTTTCACTATATAAAATGCATAATACGATTTCTCCTTTATTTTCATAGTCAGAGATTTGCATTGTATTTTTCAATTTAATTTTTTTTAAAGATTTTATTTATTTGAGAGAGAGAATGAGATAGAGCACGAGAGGGGGGAGGGTCAGAGGGAGAAGCAGACTCCCCGCTGAGCAGGGAGCCTGATGCGGGACTCGATCCTGGATCAGGCTGGATCCCCAGGCACCCTCAATTTAATTTTTTTTATATTATTTTCTTCTCTATTTAGCTTACTGTTGATTCATCTGATTTGTTGTCAAAACAGCAACTCCTTCCTTATTATGGCGCTAAGTTTCTCTTAAGTTATTTTAAATTAAACCAAATGGGAGTGGGTCAGGACATACATAGAATTCCATGAATGTTGTTTCAATTTTACTCTTATTAAGAGATTGGAAGTCTTTATATTGCCACATATGTCATGCCTGATTGCCTAGTTACCTAAATATGCTATATAAAAAAGTAATAACTTCCATCCTTTTGAGTTCAGAAATCTGTGCTCCTATAAACCTGTTAACTCGGAGGTGATCATGGTGATGATGATTGAGGGTGTGGTTTGCAGGCAAGAAAACTCCATCCTTTTTTATTATTTGTAACTACAAATGCAAATTAATCTACCTTATTTTTATTAGATTTAATAAAACAGTTATTATTGCTTACATATTTATACTTCAACCCAATCTATTAAATTTAAACAAGTGTTTCTACATATCTGGGTTTCTAGAATCATCTGTAGAAGGTTAAAATTCTCTAATGTTATTTTTGAAGCTAGTTCACAAACCCTGATTTCCTAATTAAATTCTTACAAATCAATATTCATGAATCCTATAAATTTATTTATTTTAATATTTTATTTATTTGAGAGAGACAGAGCATGAACTGTGGGAGGGACAGAAGGAGAGGGACAAGCAGACTCGCCACGGAGCACAGAGCCCGATGCAAACCTGGAGCCCAATGTGGGGCTCAGTGAGGAGCTTGATCCCAGGATCCTGAGATCATGACCTGAGCCGAAGTCAGACACTTAACCAACTGAGCCACCCAGGCTCCCCTAAGTTTATTTTTAACAAAGGCTAATATCAAGTTAATAAACTGTACCTGTCAGAAACAATATATGAAGCAATTTTATGATCAGATGGCCCCTCAATTGTTAGTTCTGAAAGAAATCTCAAACCACCAACACCAAATCTCTGTATACTTTTAATACTTAGCTATTCTAATCTTATAAAGGTATTACGTGTGTTTGTGTGTTTGTATGTGTGTGTGCATGTGACAAATAGGAATTATCTAAAACTTTCAGTACCCTTTGGCTTCCAAATATTAGATACTTATTTGATGGAAATCACTACAGTAATTTTAAATATTATAACAATTTCTCAAAAGTTTCATATTGACTTATAACATCTAAGTTTTAGAGGTTTTTTCATGCCTATTGTAAGTTATGTAACTTGTTATCATGTTATTAATATTATTTTGCATAACAAAAACAGTTATTGCTATCACTTTTCTGAGAAGATTAAGGCACTGAAAAATATCAAATGAAGTAAACAGAGTTAAATGCTATCCCATATGGACATTGGGTGATTGGTTTTGTGAATTCATATATTTTTTAAGTTTATCACTCAAAGGCCTAGATTAATTGCTGTTCAATTATATTTTTTGGTACACTAAGAGACTGTAAAAAAACTGATGTGTACATGTCGGTTCATATTTATAAACCACAGGATTTCCCACATGATCATTATATTAACTGGTCTAATGAAATTTGTTACACTTAGAATGTTCTTTCAATCTTCCATTCTCAATCTGTCACAAATTCTTATAGTGGGTACCCACACTGCAGTTGAATCATGTCAGAATTTTCATCAATTAAGAGACACATTCAGTATCTGGAATTTGGTTTCTTTGACCCACCCTGAACATTCCACTCTCCATTCTATCTTAACTATTCTCTCCAGAGTCAGATCCAAAACTTCTCCTTTATTGCCAAGTACTCCAGTCTAAAATCTTTAAACATCTTATTTTCTGATGATATTACAAACATATCCAACCTACTTTCTCAACTATATATCATTTGGTCATCCAATCAATTTCTTTTTGCCCTCTCCTATCCCTGCTTACTTCTCTATCAAACTTAAAATTCATGGTCTATTATTTCAGTATTTTTATTGCCATTTCCAGAAAGAATCTTAGTCACTTCCTTTTGACAAAACTATAATTCTGGAAGAAGCCATGTTACCTAAATCTCTATACAAACAGCCAAGAATTGGAGATGAGAATCATATACGGGCTGTCTGCTACTACAATTAATTCATAGCCACTAATATCAACAAAATCTTTATAGTTGCATGTGTTTCTGTATTAACCATTTACAATTGATATCTTTGAAAGGCAGGCTGCCTACATTACTTGTTAGGACCAGTACAAAATGAAAATGCAAGTCCAGAGCTTTCTTCTCAAAAAGCCAAAGTGCTTAAAGGCATTAAAATATATAGCTTTCTTCTTCAAAAATATCTTATAAATTATAACATGTAATGGGATAACAGTGATATGTGAAAAACAACAAAAATATAAATTGCAAAAATATAAAATTCTATATAGTGAAATAAATATAATACCTTATTAATAATATATAGTGATTGATTAAGTATTTTTATGGCTCTTTTCTGAACACTAGGTTATTGAAACTTATATTTTAGCAATTGCATTTCAACCCATATAATTAAAAAATAATGTTACTCTTTGAAAATGCGTGATTGTAAATAA